AACATAATTTTTATTCTCCTTGAGATTCATTCACTGAATATTTCTGCAATTACGGTAAACGAACCTCAAACTCAATAGCTACTAGGGGAACTATTAAGATAATATCAAAGAGTTGAAATAATATAGTTACTATTTGACCAAGTATTGAATGTAGATCTAATTACTGCATCTTAGATACTTCCGTACAAGTAATGAATATGGTGATTTTATGTTGTTACGATGCTACTAGTGTTTTAATTAGTTTACTTATAGGGATAGTTTTCAGTCATATCAAACTGTGACATGTTCGGTGAATGTATTACTATATTAATAAGTGCCGTTTTACTCACTAAGACTAGACCTCGACTGTATTGGGCTAACAGTAAAATGGTGATCCCAGTGATAACCACTGCCATAAATACATCAAATCTTCTTGCTTTGTTCATTTGTACTATTCGAACTTAGATTAATTTAATTTGTTTATTTATTCTCTGAAGTAGTGGCTTACACGAAACGTTAAAAAAATTAAATAATTTTTCTACTCATTAGGATATTACAAATATACTATGTTTATTAATAAACGTCACAAACTAAAATATGCCACGAAATTCATCGACTTCATTATATAATACTTAGATATAGTTGAAATGGATATCCCCACATTATGTTATTGATGCGCACTGCTGAGGATTTTCACACTAGGATGAAACGGACGTCAAGTGCTTCCATGTTTTCCATAATGGTCTAGCTTCAATTGACTCATGAACTCAACTATTAAATTACTATAATATCCACAAAACTCATTTCTGATAAAGATTTATACACTGAAATCATTTGAGTTTAGGTCAAAGCAACAGAAATGTTGTAGAATTTATCACATATGCACAACTGTCAACGTTACCCTAGTTTTTATTGATACGATTGAAAAAATACTTGAACATAGGGATCTAGATCGATAATATTAGTAGTAGCAAAATCTTTCATAGAAAAATAAAGGAAACAATTGACAATAGAGAATTGTTAAAAGGAAAGAATCCACTTATGCCAATGTAGATGACTATGACTAGTATTATTTAAAGTCTCTAATTGTTGATTACATTTAGCTCGACGAGTATAAGTAAAAATATTATAATATGTTACGTAGTTGAAAATGATAGTCATATTCCTTATGGAGTAATATCATGATTCTAATAATACCTACATCCGTTAGCACGGAACATTGAAATAGGCCATGATTGGGGGTAAGTAAAACACACCTTAACTATCCCAAATAATATGTAATTGAAAATTCGTCGACTGACTCACCATATTTGCTTATTAATCTATAATAATCTATGTAATATTATGCTCAACTGGAGATCTGAATGCCTTGGGTTCGACGCCGAAGTGAGTATAGGCTCTCAATAATGAGGAGTCCCGAACTGAGATAAAACAGTTGTTCAGATCTCAGTCATTTTCAATTGTTCTCCAGCTGATGTTGATTCATGATGAAAATTAATTTCATATTGCAAACAGTATCTAAAATATATTTTTACAAGTAACTGATTTTTTATCCTTTGTTGCATTTATCTCTGTTAATGACAAAACCGTTACTGATCGTTACTTATGTGAGCGTACAACTCACAAACCTCTTAAAAATTATTGATGACAAGTCATAAAACCTTACCAGTTTTTTAAAAGGTTTCCAGTTCTCACCAAGACATACCTGCAATTCTGAAGGGACCTATAAACTTTATGGGATCCGAACCTGCGCTATCCAACTTCACAATTTAAGGCGTTATTGCTGACCTTTTTGGACAACGACTGACGTCTTAGTACGGGTTAGAATCCTTTAAAGAACATCAGTTGCCTTCAAGACTGGAAGTACACCTTGATGACAAGTGTAAACTATTATGAAACCTAGGTCAAACAGGTTTTTCTGCTGACTACCATTGACCACAGAGTATAGTATAATAAACGCGTTGTTGAGCTACTTAGATTAGTGAGCATATAACAAATTGATTTACAGAATTTAATCAGCACCAAAGAATTCGACAAACATGACATTGGTCAAGTTATAACCGGTATTCAATTAATTCACTTCCATTTAATACAAAAATCAATCTGATTTATGTAAGTTTGTACATGATTTCGTGATTTCTGGAGTATAACCCTATAATCGTTTATAGGGTGAGACAAAGAATTTAATTCAGAAAATAGACTTGATGATGATTGATTAGAACAAAATGACTTAAGATTTTTACAAAAATTAAATGATTTCTCAATGTTTTCATTAAAAAAATATTGAAAATGAATAGATATAAGCCCTATTATTGTTGAAATACATAGAATTTCAGTAGTGAACACATAGTAAAGTCATAATTGATTGATCACTGAGTGGTGATCAATGTCATGTGTGTCAACTCCTTATTTAGTGCAGATCGAATGCTATCGACCATGTTGCAATGTGGCCACCAGTCTAGGTGACTCGACACTGCGTGCACTATATATTAAGATTAGATGGTGGTTGGAGGTAGTCGACAAGAAACCTTGGACCCGGTTTTCGTGCTACTTGGCACTCGTCAGCAAGGTGTACCTGTAATCAGTCCTACAGGAGGTCAGTCGCGGCCCGGATAGCTCAGTGGTAACGTCTCTGACTGTGAAGCTGGGTGACACGGGGTCGAATCCGTCAGGGAGCACCAGTTCCTTCAAGATTACAGGTACACCTTGCTAACGAGTGCCAAGTAGCACGAAACCCGGGTCCAGGGTTTCCTGTCGACTACCTCCAACCACCATCTAATCTCAACATAGTTAAGTAATCACTCTACTAGGCGTTACTATGTGGTCTAATCTAATATACACGGTATATAGGAAACTATATGTAAAATAACTTTCACGCAGACTTCCTACCATAAAATTAGTAAATGTCATCATGAAGAAATTCGGTAAAATAATGATCATGTGTTAGTTACCAATATTACCGTATCAAGATTATCATGTTTAAATTATCTAAAATTCTTAATACCACCCTAATATTTGACAAGTATACAGATTCCTGAGGTCAAATGAAATGATACTAATAAAAATCATCCTAACAGTCATTTTCTTTTAATCATCAGAAGTATAACAAGTATTCATCTATTTATGGTGGTATTTCTGTCTGAAACAAGCTCCTTTCCTGTTAATTTCAGTTGATAGAAGTTTAATGTTGAAAAATCTAATTGATTTATTTGTTAATCCTTTCAATAAAATCCAAATAAACTGATACATGATGAATAGTTAGTTATGTCCGATACATAGTCGAAACCCAAATGTTCTCACTTAAATTCATTCCTACCTCCAAAATATCAATTACAGACTTTGATAGTCATAATAAAAATATCGATGTGAAACTGGATTCTTTCTTTTTTAATGGTAAAATAATCTAGAACTGTATTATTTAACATTTCCTCAATGTGAGTGTGTTTATTGTGGTTTATAAAATTACTTTATCACTTTAATTTTCATTTATCGTTTACTATCACTTTGATGTTTGACGCATTTTTTTTCCTTGTAAATGTGAGTTAGTGATTAATGTATCGTTTATCACTATGCTGTTATAACAAACACACACATATTTCCTATTTCCTATGAGTCGTCTTATTTTTATGCTTATGTATGTGTATGATCATACATGTCTACATTACACATGTCTTTCTAAGAATCTGTCTGCTCATATTTATACTTATCACCAGTCTGTTCATATGGTACTATGATATTCCTCCTAAAAGGATAAATGTACATAGAAATTGAATGACTGTCTGTACTACTACAAGAAGTTTGTTTAAAATTCAATTCCCAAGATATTTTGTTTGATATAAATTCTCTAAGTAACAAGATAGTTTATAGTTAGAATAAGCGAGACAATTTATCTTTATTGTGAATTCAATGTGTATGATGAGGTGAACATAGTAAAGCCAATAAATTCCTATATTCGAATCACAATATCAAAGTTTAGTAGAACAAATTGACTGTATTTAAACTAATTGAAATGTTAAAATATATACAGGTCATGAACCGATTGATGTTAGACCACCACTGAAAACCTGGAAGCACTGGACTGCCGTTTTGTCCTATTGTGGGACTCCTCAGCAGTGCGCATCCACGATCCCGCCTCTCAAGATTCCGACCCAGGACCTAACGGTCCCGCACACGAACGCTTAAGCTATAGACCACTGAGCAAGCTGGCCGGGATCCAACGGTCTTAATGTCTAAATAATCCACAAAATTGAGTGATATATCCAACATTGTCTTCAGTGAGTTATTATCTCACAACGGACTTGGTCATTGCTTCTCACTAGAACTCCAGAAAATACCTCTTGAAGCCAGTCACTAATCATTTCATTGACCTTAGTAAAACAAGAATAATCACTGTCTGTGACATGATTAGTTTAGATTATCCTAAAACCTTTTGAGTAGTAACGGAAACCACCATTTTTACTGATCGTTAACGAAGTTCATTTTACGTTATCCAGTCACACAATCAGAGCTATTAATCAACATTTGAAAGGAAATGCAAAACAGACAAAATGTAACGACAATCAAACTTTGGACACCAATATTGGTGAATTATGAAGTCCAGTCATTCCCTTTACTGATAATGTTATATCATATGATCAATAAATATTAGTCTCTGCTCATTTTTTTTTACTATAAGGTACGTAACTTTCGAATGATGGATCGTCCAGTAATCAAAATCTGAATGACTGATCATATCAGATCTAATGAGGGTGTAATAACCTTAAAGACTGAATACTTGGATTACAGAGTTATTTGAACTAGGGTTTAGAGATCTTTTAATGAATCAGGCAAGCACCCGAAGGTTCATTAGCGAAGAGAAATGAGATCTTTACTTATTACAACCATACTGGTAAATAATATTACCAAACCAGCAAATCTATATTTTAATAAGTGTAATCACAGAGCTTTTGTAGCTAATGATTTCTAAATAGTCTAAGATAGGCTAACTATTAGAGTAAATAGATGGAAGTGTGAGCACTTACTGCCAGTAGTTGATTGTTGTGGATAATAGACAAGAAATTGAGCATTACCACCAATATGTGCTGCGTTAGCCACAGTAGGATGTGTTCCAGAAGGAGCTAGAAGTTGTGCAATACGAGCTGCATTATTGCTAGAATCAGTTGTTAAGCATTCCGGTGTAATTACACTAGCTAACATCAAATTATTATGAGCATTGCCACTGTTTGTAGCACCAGTTGTAGTATTAATGGTACCAATTGGTACGGCATGTGAATTTTTCCCATGTGCTTGTACTATATTTAAAGCTTGACGAGGATAAGCAATCATTTGATATGTTTGATTATTTGGTAAACTATTACTTCCAGGTGCATTATGACCTTTTATCGATGTATTTGCAATCAATATAGGACGATAATTAGCTCCAAATTGGGATTGTTGAACAGTACCAGAACCAGTAGTAGCATTAACTTGTTCGACAACTCGTGGAAGTGTTTGTATTTCATGTAATGTATTTGTTCCTAATGGATAGTGAGCGATCAGTCCACGATTACCATGTACATAAGTTTCCATAACAGCCGGTACACCAGCTGCGTGTACAACTGTATGCATTGATTTTTGCATACCTGCTATATTATGACTTAATTGTGGTCTATGTCCACTTGATTGATTTTGTTGTCCACTTAAAATATTTTGTGTACTTGTTATAAGACATTGACCACAAGGTACTGCTGTAGGATTAACTGAAGCCAGTGGTGAGTTAGTCACATTTGTATTTGTATCCATTGTGGTTAATGATTGACTTGAGATAAGCAGTTGAGAACGTTGACTGGACATAATCACAAAAATAATAGATATTTACTGGGAAGGAGAAAAAAATAAGGAAGTGATATGTTAGCATACTAAATGAAATACACAACAAATGTCTTTGACAAATGATACAAGAAAAATAAACGTATGGATAAATCAGAAAATCTCCACATACTAATTACCTGTTAAAAGAAAACTAGACCTAGAACTACTGTTTAATTAATCTGGTGAAGATTGTTATGATCCATTCATACTGAGTTATCAAGTTGATAAGTAACTGTAGATCTAAGCTTCGTGTTTCTAAACACTCATTAACAATGGTTGTTTTAATATATGCTAACAGATTCATATCTAGCCCCTATATTATCACATGCGTGAAATTTAGTTAAAGCTTCGTAACATGTATTCTCTCTAAACTCTAGGATTACTCAGGTGAACATAGTACATATATAATCAATGGTACTCAGTTAGCAATAATGAATATATAGCACGAAACATGTTAATAATCAATCATTAATTTTATGTACATATATAGTAGATTTCATTTATCATAAATTTTCGTAATTCTTAAACAGGAGTTTCTTCCGTGTCAGAATCGAAACCAAAAAAAGTCAATTAATTATGCTGTTCAAATATTCTCAAACCCCCTCACTCTGCTTGTATGAAGTGACAGTAAGAATAACTATTCGGGAAGATGTTCATGAATTGCGCCATTAGTAACTCAGTCATATAAAGCGCAGAACCTGATGCTTATGTGCATCGGTTCAAATTACTACACCGTATTAACATAGTAAAATAAAAGCATCAAGCCAAATTCTAGAGTAGTAGTAGTAGTGTTAGTAATGGTGGAGAATTTACAATGTGAATAATAATTATTACCTAGGTGTATGATGTTAACAGGCTTTTCTCTTTAAAACATTCACTCAAGAGGAGAAGTTATGGTTGCTAAATTTATCCATTTTATTTAAATACATAAAAATTGGTAGAAGGCACCAGATACATATGCGCCACACAAATCATCCGATTTGTGTGAGGGCTGAGATACTGCTCGAGTGCCTGAACCGAAACAGATGGTCTTCATAGGGGGCCAGGCCACACCCGAAACCTCCGACCTAAAGATCTGATCCACAAGGCAGTGGAGCAACGTCATGAGAGACAGATCCGCGGTAGCCGGTGACTAACAATAGGTTCATACGCCATTTGTTCCTTCAGGATCCTGGAGTCCATGTGCAGTACTGGTTTGGAACCAGGGTTTTCCGACTCCCCTAGGTGGGTCCTCCGTATCCACCAACCCGGTCCAAGCCCCCACCGGACATTCGATTTTCGTCTTCTCAATTTCATAAACAACAGTAATGCCATGAGAAGGCAGTGAGTAGGACTGCCCTAACATCGGTTGTATGCACATGGTCATATGAGGGCATCTCGAGAGAGAGAGAGAGCTGACTCTCCCCACTCTCGGCCGTAACAGGGCATTTGGGGGCAAAGTTTAAATAAATAGGATGTCGCTGCCAGGATAAGTGAGGTATAAAACTGGGATATTTTTGTGTTTAAACAGACTGATCTATAATTGGTCAGTGGTTGACTACCGGTATATCCAGTTCTGCAGTTAGTCAGCTGTATGAACTACCTTGCTTGAGCTAGAAGTCCTTATGATCGGTCTCAAGTAGATTTTCCACTATGTAGTAATTTTATAAAACTTCTAAACTGCAAGGGAGAATAAAAACTCTTGATTTTCAGCATGACTTTGCTATTACTCGGCAGAGAAAAGTGTGTATGAAGCATGAAAATTTATTAAGAACCACTAGGAAATTCATGGAGAATCACAACTCAAATACTATTGTCAGATACATCTCCTGATACATGTTTGAAGTTACAATAAGTAAACAATATGTCTAGAAATTTCAAGATCTTTTTTAAGTTGTTAAATAACGTTTGACATTCATTAACCTAATACAACTTAGTGTTTTGAACTAACAATGTATTATGATATAATGTGAAGATAATGCATATTAGACATAAAATGGTCATAATGGTTTATCATTCCCAAAACTGAGTCATTACAATCAAATAATTCAGTAATAATTTGTTTGAACATTCTGTATGAAATTATGAATTCATTAACTGATTTTGACTTTTGAACTGAGGTTATATAGTACAGCGCCGAAATTAAATTTTAAACTATCCAAACAAAATGACCCTTAATTGGTCAATAAACACAGACAAACATATCTAGCCATGCTATATACAAAAGACTACGTCAAATTGTAAAGTGTGTTACGCTTTTGATTCCATTTAATGAATTGAATTGTACATGTGTCAATAAACTCTTGCTTTGATTTAATCTGCCTCTCTATCAAACGGTGGGATTACTGGGTGTAAATGTATCACACATGGTTGAATATCATGATCTTGTAAGGTTTACAAATCGTCTCTTTTCGTCATATACTACACTAGGTGAAACTACAGAATATTGTGAAGAAATAAAAGAGAGAACGATTATATTTCGAAAGATACATCATAACTACTAGTCATTATAAACATCACATCAGCAGTTTATTTTACTGAACCACTATAAAAATAACAGGATATAATCACACAGAGATTTGTTTTCATGAGTTTTACTTCATCTGTAAATACTTGTGTACTGTTGAAGATAATTAGACATTATTAATTTATCAAATTGAAGGACTCTTAACAATTGAGTTTATATACAATTGCTTGTAAACAGAGTGGGCATATTATCCTTGGTAAATGTTTTGATATCGACTGTTAGATTGTTAAATCAAAGTGACCGTGATTAAATTAGGTTGATTTCGTCAAGTAGAATTACCTGAATTCCAATCAATACTAGTATTCTCACTAAGGCTTAGACCAAGCCCCACCAATATCAATGCCTAATCACTTTTCCTCGTAAATCACAATATGTCGTTCCTTTAACGTGTGTGTCACTTGTTATAAGTCTTGGAACACGCAACTATTTCTTTACATTAACTAAATTGGTCAGTTTCTGACTATAAATGAGTTAAGTAGAGCTTCTCTGTTGTAAATTTCCACTTAAATGTTTTTTTAGTAAGTCGATGAGACATTTTCCGTTTTATCTGGAGACTGTGTGACATGGCCCAAAATCGATCACAATGGCGTAGGTGTATACACTCCTTGTCTTCCCTTAAACCATGAAATTAAAATTATTTCATATCTTTCTTTCTACGAACTAATTCCTTCTTTCTGTACTATATCCTTACATAAAATCTTTCCTTTATATAATGTTGTTACTGCTGTTACGGGTATGAGGGCTGGCGTCACTTCCCGGCTGCCCACACTGTGGAAGGGTATTTCTTGAGAAACCCGAAAAGGAAGTTGGATTAGTGTTGGCCTTAACGACACGAAAGCGTGACCGCCAAGCCCAAGGGACAACTGCTTGAGGCCGATCGCGCACGGATTTTTTGTGGGAGGTTTTTGACGTGTTAGCTCTGTTCTTCAAAGGGCCTTACCGCCGGAGACGGAAATCCGTGAGGTAAGGTGAGGTGTGACATTTTCAGGGTCGACGTTTTCTAACCCCTTCCTTCCTTGCGAGAAGGCAGCATCGCCGCAGATGCTGGTTGTCCGAGGGAAACAACTTACTGCCGTCACACCCCTCTACAGTCAGCAGTGCGACTTCGCCCTCAGACCTTGAGTTGCTGCTTTTAGTCTTACCGTTCTCCAATCGACCTGCCTGGCATAGTAGAACCTACAGGAACATATGTTACAGCCAATATAGCTCTGTTGGGTCATCACGATAGGCAAGAGCGACCACTACGTCAAGGTAGCAGCTACGGTCGGGCTTTATATACTACACCATTGAGTTAACTGTTTCTATGAATCCGGTATTCGTCTTGCTGTGCCAATGAGATGTGGCAACTTGGATCGATGCATGTATGTGCCTGGTCCTATGTTGTAACTGACTGACTGAGATTGAATTATCTCGACGCAACCGAATTTAAGCATTCCGGAATTAGAAATTCAAATTGACCGTTCTTTTTTTTTAAGCAAAAGAATAAAGTTTTGAACCGCTGGATATCAGTAGCCAGTAATTGTTCAATGGATGATAATTATTACTGAGATAAATACCAATTTTAATTTTCATACTCATAATGCCAAAGTATAACAACCATAGGAAATAATCTAATTCCCCATACAATTATTATGTTAAACTAAATCAACTTATTACTCTTAAAGCTGGACAAAATTCAGTCATAACAACGTAGAACTTCGTACGTACATCAGTTCAAGTTGCCACACCACATTAGCACAGAGATGCATTTTTCGATTCAAATCCCATAGTGGTAGAGGCGGTAAGAGTATAAGCAGTAATCGGAATGATTAGGGTTTGAAGATGTTTTATTTAAAGAGTATAATACAGTGAAATAAATTTGGAAAGAGAAAAAAGAGACATGAAGAATTCAGAAGATTAGAGTTTGAGAGAACACAACGAGCGGATGCACCTGAGCCATTGCAAACGATTTTGAGTAATGTCATTCAAGGTCTCTAACCCTCAGTTGCTATCATCTCGCGGTCCCCAACCAGGTAGTCTACACCTACCAACATGGCTCAGTCCACTTGTCAGTGACTTCATGGATTTGTGCCATGATTTGGTCTGGCCGCCCCTAGATTGCTTCCATCCTACTCCTACACCTCATGGCAGTCGATGGTTGGGCATACGTAACACGTGTCCCAGCCATCTCAACTGATGAAGTTTCACTACTTCATCAATTAATTTGCCATCCTTACCTAGTACCCGTTTCCTAACAACTGCGTTACTTACTCGATGGACAAAAGGTAAAATACAAACTCCTACGAATAAATTCCATACCCATTGTACAAACTAGTTTTTTTTGGAATTCAATGGCTCAATAAGTAACGAATTGATGCTTGAAACGAAAACTAGTACATTTAAGTTTGAATGTAAGTATCAACACTATGATATAAATGAATTAGAATACCAATCCCTACATAGGACTAAACACAAGTTTTAAATTCCACTGATAGCTATCAATATCAAGGTTAATTCGCTT